GTGTTTGTCTGTCATTGTAGGCTGGTAATGAGATTCATGAGATTCATTTAGCTGATTGATACAAAGCAATAGAATACTCTCTGGTTGAAAGCACACGACGGGCAGTGTTTGACTGTCATTGAAGGCTTGTAATAAGTTAACATTCATTAATTTATCATTAAATATTCATTAAATTCACAAGATTCATTCATTTCATAAGATTAATACCCAGCAATAGAATACTCTCTGGTTGGTAACACATTACGGGCAGTGTTTGCCTTTCACTGTAGTATAGAGGCTTTGCACCATCACGTACCTGCACCCATAATACAGCTCGGGCTGCCTGTGGTTAAATGGCAGAACAATAAAATCCCTTTGCTCTCAGGAATTGAATTCTTTCTCATGTAAAAAGATTGTATTGTTCCTGCCATCTAACATGGCTGCCGTCACGTGATGGTGCAAAGCCTCTGTAGGCCGTTATTCAGATTCTTGTTTATTGAAATTCCTTCAGCTAAATCGCAAGTTTATAATTCGTACTGATTGACAGCACATGGTAGTGACAGCACATGGTAGTGACAGCACATGGTAGTGACAGCACATGGTAGTCAGTGTTTGACTACCCTTTTGCAGTCATAATGATTTAGCCTTTTGTCAGCTGATCGAAAATCATGCAGAAATAAAGATAAGTGACACGTATAAAATACTTACTCTGAATTCATATATTTTCACCGAGGCCATCACGCACACTGTTACATTGTTCCTGTCCACATGCTTGACCCATGCTGTTGCTGCATCAAACATAGGTAAGGTCGTGATTGACCGCGCGGGACTGAGCAGCACCATGACGTCATTGGTGGTGAATGGCGTCGAAAAAGCTTCAGATTTACATGCAGTTGGCTCGTCTCGGTAATTTTTATGCTAATCATACCATGAGACATTTCTATGGCTTCAGCTAAAAAATAATTTAGGTACATTTTTAAGAAATAGAAATCTTTGCTGATAGAAAGAGAAGGAGAAGGAGAAGGAGAAGGAGAAGGAGAAGGAGAAGGAGAAGGAGAAG